AAGTTAGTCCTTTATAGATATATTTTTTACATATACTGCTAATATTTTTTGAATTATTTCGTTACTAAATATTATGACGGTTAAATATTCCGTATAAATATTCAAAATATATAGACCATTCGGAGATTGGGCCACCTGTGATTTAATGAACCAAAGTTAACTCTTTCTCGAAGCGTGTGAATTTATTTGGCCAAAATAAATAACACATTTCTGAAAAGGGCAGTTTCTCAATAGTGCTTGTGCAAAATCCCATAAGATTTGAAAGGATGGCAAATGGAGAAATCTGCCACTTTTTACATGCAATGACAAACATTAAAAATCAGTACCCGTCGCTCTTTATTGTGCACAGATGTGATCAGTTGTTCAATTATCATAAAGCCACTATTAATAAACGAGGGAGTGATGTACCTTTAGCAAAAAGTATAATAAGGCTATTTGGATTTAGGGTGTGGATACCAGGATTAAGTAAACATGCGCAATTTCGGCCATTTTTCGATTGCGAAAATCGGTCCTCACAGCTGAAACATTTTTTTCCTTTTTTTCATAAACAAAAGAGTATTTTTGAAAACTAACCACATAACGTTTCACACTTCACCATAGTCATCTTAAATTCAAAAGTAGAGCGAATTTAAAATGTTGAGCCTTGCCACATATTTTTCATTTTGTTTGATATTTGTAGACAGTCGCTCTTAAGCGAATTGTGCATGGATTTTTCAAGATAATTTTTCAAGGGATGTCATGCTCATGGGATTTTTGAAGTTAATAGGAATTCCAACTTTCTCGTCGAATTCCATAAACTCTCGTCAACTTTCACCGTGAGCTCAATTTCGATGAGAGTTGATAAGAGTTTTTGCATGTTTGCCACTGGTTATATTTACTCAACTCTCACGCAACTTTTGTTCCCATCATGATCAACTCATTTCCTCGTATACCGGGACTTAACTTTCAGAATGTTGACCTGTCATCAATATTAGCAAATTAATATGCAGACATCGACGAAAATCGCTAAAATGAATGACTTGTATGTATAATGTCCGAAGCATCTTAATAACCTGTTTAATTTACAAACTGCTGGGATCTCGACAAGCGTGGGCTAGCTCCAATCTTCATATGAACGCAATATTTTTATTATAGTAAAATATTTGTAATGAGCACGTAAGGTTTAAAAACTAAAGCCCCAGTCAAACTAGGATGATATTTGATGAGAGAGATGAGAGAATTTCCGTCCCATTTCACCGCCAATTTTTATCAATTTTCATCAACTTTGCGCTGGTTCAAAGTTTGATGAGAGTTTTTTTCCCGTTTGCTAGTGTTATCTCACCAACTTTCATGCAACATCTCGTTTGACCGAGGCATGCATGAGAGTTGACAAAACTCGCATGCAATTAAACTTTCCCTTCTCCATTGTCATCAATTATCATCCGCACTTGACTAGGGGTTAACATAGAAAACATTTCATTTCAACAGCGCAAGTAAAAAGACGTTGGAAGGAACAACACTCAGCAGTCATGAATTCTGGTCATATACTGTTTGTCTATCTGTTACTGCTGTGCGCACAGACCTGCAGTTCTCTGCACTCAAGTGCGTTGTTCAAATTGTCCATGTCAGGTAAGTGCTGCAATGAAATTAAAATTTAGAAAGAAACCAAAATTAGGTCTCAATACAGTTAGAATTGGCGTTCATATGCCAGGGAAAGCTACAAATATAAATAAAAAAATATCACCAGAAAATTAGATTATATCTCAGACCTACCCCAAATTAATTAGTTATTGAAGGGCGATTGGATCTTGCATTTAATTGGTCCACTTAAGACGTTTTTAGAGCCTGTTTAAAAGTGGCGGTGGGGGGAGAAGGGAGGGTAGAGCGCAAGAAGGTAAACGTTTTTGAAATGGAATGAAGTGAAATGGTTTGGAGTGAAGCCCCATGCAGACAACATAGTATAATTGATTTCTTTGCATCTAAGAGTCTGAAGAGACATTCCTGTGATATTTGAACCTAATTCAAACTAGCTGTTTTGTATTAACGTTACTGATAAAGAAATAAGCAAAATTAAATTCTGTTCCAAAAAAAAACCACAAATGACTTGTGCAAAAATACTAAAGCAATCAGTTATTTGCCTCAGGCTCAGTGATTATTGGGGAATATATACCTTCACAAATCTTTGTGAATATTCCCCGATAATCACCCCACCTTGATAATTAGATTACCTTGCACTGTCATTAGCAACATTTCCTGAACCACCTCCTCCACACACTTCGTCATGTTCTTGCATCATGTCCATGGCAACAGCAACATGACAATTAACGCATTCTACTCTTGGACTTGTAGAAATCTGAGAAATAGTATGTATACAGTACAGTATATATTGGCAGTTCATGTACAGTACTTTACACTTGTAACTTATGCACAGTGCACTAATGACTTCATGAAATAAATACTACGCATTTACAGCAAAGTCATAACCTCCTGGCAATACACAATTTTTATTTTTGGAAAATAATAACTGAAATTATCAATTATTTGAATTTATCAATAGAGTTAATGAAACCACAAGCATTAGACAAGATTTCTTGTTATAAATGTAATGGCACTGGAAGGGAGGCACTAGAAGGGAGGCTGGTCTTGTGGGGCTGAGCTTCTCAGGTTTTCTAAAAAATAGCTCTTAAAAAGTTTTAAAGTTCTAAGTTTTAAAAAGCAAAAAAGTTTAAAAAGTTAGATTTTTTAAAAAATTTAAAAAGTTAAAAAAAATTAAAAAGTTAAGGGTTAGTGGTTGAGGTTAGTGTTAGGTGCCGCGAATTTATTATTATGATAAATTCAAAATTTGCCGTGAATTTATCATAGTGATAATTCAGACGTGTTTAAGAATTTATTCGTATAGTAAATTCAAAGGTGGAGCTCATGCTGGAATAATGGGTATTGTAATTTATTTTTATTTGGAAAACTCTAACCCTAACTCTATACAGTAACCACTGCACCAAATTACCCATATATGTACAGTAGCTATATTAATTTTAAAAAATTATTATCAATGGTAATAATTAATCATGAAGAAAACACAAAATAAATAATGGGCATGATGATTTACAACATTAGCATTGGTTTTCTTGGCATATAGTATTTACAGCTTTTGCATCCAGTGTCATATCAGATATACAAACTCTTGTCCTCTGAGTTCGAGTTTTTATATCCGATACAGCACAGCCGTCCATGTTGTAAACAGTATCTAACACTAGTATATAAATAGTACATTGTCATTGACATGTCAAACATGAAACATATTGTTATAGAAAAGAAGTATTGTAACCTGAACAGGATAAAACACACTGCTCAGAGCATTAGTTAAAATATATATAAATGAAGTTCTGTTTTTAAATAAATAAATAATAAAATTCCAACCTGAGTTTGACCTTTACTCGTGAAAATGCTGTTACCAATAACAATGTCTTTTTGGTAAGGTCTGATGTATCCCTTGGCCGAGCCTATTGTGGATTTTAAAAACGAAACTGTATATCCACCAGGTGGCATAGCAAGGAGCATCAAATTGCAATTGCCACGCTCTCCCGTCCGTAGGATGTTATATCCACCAACATCAGAGAGCATTGGAAATGCTTCCAAAATCTTATTGTGGACATGTTCGCAATTTCCACCTTTGTGAAAACATATTGTTCGCTCATCCAACCCAGAAAGGGCCATATTTACTTTCTCTGCTGCAGATGGGGCTGTGGTTGCATTTCTCTTTGCTAAACAGGCAAATGTACGGGACCATGTGTTCCGCACAGGAATCGACACCTGTTGTCCAGTTGATGTCGTTATCCTTTTCCTTTTCGAAGGAGGCTGTCTATTATTTCTGTTACTACTGGATGGTGGTCTATATCCAAACAAATTTCTGTGTTCCTCAGCTGCAGTTGGTCTGAGCACCTGTGAGGCTGTTGTTGGGCTGAGCATTGGACTATGCACAGGAACTTGCTGAGGTCTGTGCACCTGTGGTGATGCTGCTGTTGGGCTAGTGATTGGGCTATTTAGAGGAACTTGCTGAGAAGAATTTGATGTATTCTCAAGACGAGTCATAGCATTCAATAAATTCTCAGCACATGCTCTCAATAACTGTTTTGGATCATTACTCATTTTCACCTACACAATAAAATAATATCATAAATCATTCATTGTGGTTGAATTAGGCCTAGTCTCTCAAACTGGTTTAATTTGTTATTCATATTAAAAAACAATGGAAATCAGTACAAGTTCCTTTAATTTTGGATTGTATACAATAGATTATTATGGTTAAGTTGCTATAATTGTGCCAATTATGAATTGAATTGTGCCAATTACCCATTGAGCTGCAATGTGTCCTACTAATTCTTTTTACTTGTCTAATGCTCTGCAGCTTAATTAACCAAACACACCCAATAACATGCCCTTAATTAAATTGCATCCTCTTAACCCTCTAAGTGGCAATGCACCCCTAGCTATGCACCCTAGTTTAGTATTCTACTCTGTCTATCGCCAGACAATTTTACTCATCAAGTGAAGAGTGCTGCCACTCAATGGGTTAACACATTAGAGTGAAAACCTCTTCCCCTGATGAGTTTAAAGCTAAATCGTCTGGCATTAGACAGAGTAAAACAACAAAATAGGGCATATTTGGGTGCATTTCTGCTTAATAATTAACAAATTAAGTGCCAGCACTCTAGAGGAAGGTGCATTGCCATTGAAGTAGGGGGCTATTTGCAGAGTTTTCACAGAGTCGGAATACCACAGCTGGGAATTGTGTATGGTCTTTTTCCCCAAAGCCAAAGGCAACCCACCAAATATAAACACCGTTTGTGTATTATTTTATACAAATTTTGTCATGCTTTGAAACCCATATTTTCAACACAACTCTACAACTTAAAATGCTAAAAAATGTACTACAATTCAATATTCAATGACCAAACAGAACATAATGGACTTGTATCCAAATCCTTTATTAAACTGAGCGAAGATATCAGTAAAATAT